CCAGATCGTAGAATTGGAAGCTGCTGGAAGCTGAATAGAAGGGAAAGCAGTGGGGATGGGAAAGAGCGTCCTGGACATAAAGACGGCTGCAGTGATGCCACCGGAAAGCCGAGGGGCGGGTTGGAGGGGCTTATTTGCAGGGGACGAGCAGTGGGGAGGCTTTCTTGGGCCAAGTGCAACGCCTCTCTCCTGCCGCCGCGCCATGCTTTGAAACTAACCCTGTATTCCTGATAAATCAGAACAGCAACAAGCAAACCAGCAAACGCTTTGCCAGTTGCGATCTTTACCTGAGCACGTGCGGTTTTGCATTTTTCACCAAAATCTCAGCGGCGTGATGTCTCCAGGAACGAAGCGGATTTTGCTCCTGCTGCCCGGTGCCCTCCTCAGCCGCTGCTCTCTGGGGGGTCATTTGTGGCCCTGGCAATTGCAGGGCTCTGGGCATGGGCCCCACATTTCAGCGGCATCCCTGTACAGCGCCTGGCTGTTGGCAAGAAAGGCTCTTCCTGGGCATCGAGGAGGCGTAGCAAGATTCTCTCGCAGGCCTCGCTTGCTGCAGATGGCCGCGTCTTGCTTGGCCGTGCTTTGCTGGGTCCCTGGCCCCAGACCACGGGGGCAACCTACACGGCTTCTGCATACGCTCTCAAGAGCCCTGTGAAATAGGTTAGGACGAGAGCCAGCCAAGCCACCCGTTCCGGTGGAGCAGGGCTTGACCAGAGTCTCTGCGGTCCACGTCCAGCGTTGACCTCACTCGCTGCCCTGGCTTTCAGTTCCCTGCTTGCTGGAAGTTGGATCAAAAGCATGCAGAGGTACTTTTTAAATGGTTGATGGGCGGCTGTCCGGTTTGGCACCTTCCAGGGAAGCGGCACTGAAGGCTGGTTGAGTTGCACGAGGGATGGAAAGTGCCAGCCGCCGGGTTGCACAGGTCCCCGAACGTCGACCCTGGGCCCTTGGAGGCAGCAATGTTTCCGGCCTTTTCCTGGCAAACAGTGTCAAGAGTGCCGTGATACCAGTGAGGAGAGGTGCTAGAATCCTACTCCGTGTAGGATTCTGTGCAGCGCAAACTGGAGGGGGGGTGCAGGGATTGTTGCCCTCCACGGTGGTGCAAATAAGCTGCAGAGGTGTGAGGGCTGTGCTGAGCCCCTGCGGGCTCCTGTCCTGTCATCCAGTCCCCAGCGCAACCCATGGGCATCGGGTGGCTTGTTCACCACCCCCAGCGATCAGCCTCCTCTGGGACTGGATGATGGGACGGCTTGTGGCTAGGGGCTGGGCTGCTTGTGGACAGGAATGCAAGCCCATCTTCATGCTCCGTGGAGCATCAAGTGGCGCCTCCTTCGAAGTGGAAAACATTTGCATCTTGGCTGATGCCTCCGTCTCCGGGACGGAATTAACGCTTGCTTGTGGGTGGCTTTATTCCCTCACTCAGAATCCCGGTCGGAATGTCTGAAGTCGTGGCAGGCTGGGGAACGGTGGAAGGGCTGGTGTTTGAGGGGAGCCGTGGGAAGACGCCTGGCAAACTGCAGCCGCCTCCAAGCCGTCGCGGCACTCGGAGGCCGCGGGAGAGGCAGGCAGGCAGGCGCTCGCGTGCAGAGTTCAGGGAGGGCGAGGCAGCTGGGAGCAAAGAAGGGAAGTTGCGCAGGAATGTGTGTGGGCTGGTGGGTGGGGAGCCGGAGCTCCTGTCGGACCAGGTGCCTCGGCCGGTCTTTGAGCAGAAAGCAGCGGCAGAGGAGCGGTCGGAGCGCGGAAGCTGCGGACCATGTCCCGAAGCAAGAGCGGCCGGGGCCGGAAGGTGCTGGAGGGACCCGGTGCAGAGATCAAGGTGCGTCGGAGTGGCATCAGGCCAGGTGGAGCGGAGGCCTCAGGTTTGGAAGCTGGCAGTGTGTCTTCGGAAGGAGGGCTGGAGCGCCTGCAGCAGGGCCCTGTGCACGGCGGCCGTGCGGATTAAGAGGGTGTTCGCAGCGAATTAAAAGGGCAGAGTTAATTATTCTCCATCCCATTCCTTCCAGGAAAAACTCCCCAGGCAGCAGGCACCATCCTGGAAGAGGTGCCCTTTCCACGGGGGGAAGTGCCTGGTTCACGGTTACGCTTGCTGCGGCCAGTCCGGGTGTCCCCTGCAGGCGGTCACTTTTCGAACAGGAGTGTCCTCCTCCAAAACCAAAGTTCATGCGAGTTTGTCTCCCAAAAAATCATTTCTGTTCTCCACAGAGCTGAGCTGATTTGACTAGCGCAGCCCATCAAGCCGAACCCTGTGACACACGGAACTGGAATCGCAGGATGGCTCCCTTTGCAGCTTCCTTTCTCTTCCGCCGGCTCTCTGGAGCAAGAGTAGCCATGCCCCCTGCCCACTTGGCATCCTTTCCATTCCACCTCAGATGCAGGAGATTGCCCTGCCGTTACCCGTGCACTTACCTGTACATTCTAATCATTCATGGGGACTAGGCGCTTGTGTTCATAAAACAAGATTGCTTTAGAAGTTGAGCTTCTCAGCTCTCATGTTGTGTGGGACACTCGTGGAAACAACAGCCTGCTGTACCTTAAGACCAGTTCATTTAAGGTGCATGAATTTAAGAGCTGCGGAAGTGGAGCTGGTCGGGGTGAGTCTGTGTTCGGGGTTGGAATGAGGTTGCAGGTGCTGCCGGCCTGGGCAGAAGTGTGTGGTTGCTGCCAGTTGTGTGTGGTGACCCTGACAAGTGAGCTGCACTGCGATCGATATTGGTCTCTGTGTGGCGTGTACTCCCAGTATCATCATCCATGCGCATCAGCCGGAAAGCCACAGAAGCGCGATTAGGAAGCGCAAAACCGCGACTGGGCTCAGGCCATTCAGTGACCAGCTCTGAGCCCGTTTTGTGCTGCCCGTGCGTGGATCAGTGGCGCACGACTCAACCCCAGTGTGAGGTGTTGCCTTGACCAGACCCAGCGACGGGATGCTTCGATGGTTGGGCTGGGAAGGGCTCAGGTCGAGGGCCCCTCGGCCACGGTTCTCTCTGGATGACTCTGGGCCGCTCCCTGGCTCTCAGCCTGGCCTACCTTACAGGGCTGTTGTGAGGCTCAAACGGAGAAGAGGGAGAGGCCAGCCGCAGGTGTCTTGCAAGTCTCCGCAAAAGCCGAGCAGGGTGCTGGCGGGTTGCAGCTTGCTCCCGTGGCCAGTGGCGCTGCTGGGGACGCACAGGCCTGGGGGTTGCCCAGAGCGTGGCCCCATGGGGTGGCAAGGGGCAGGGCCGGCTCCACGACGGGCATCCCTTCGCCCTGCCTTCGCCCTGCCTTCAGACATCACCTGGACGGCCAGGCGGAGCAGTCGGCTGGTTGCAGTGCTAGAAATCCAGGTGGCCCTTCATTTTCCTTCCGTCTGACGGACAGGTGGTCCTTCTTTTGCATCCGCTGAGCTTGAGCCCCGCAGCCACAGGCTCGGTGGCCGTTGTGGGCCCTGCTCTGGCCAACGCTACTTTGACATGCAAAAGGAGGCATGCTCAGAGTTACCCTTTTTCATCAGCTTTGGCAAGGAGGTCTTCTTCTTGCTCTTTGCTCCAACATGTCAGGGATGTGGAGGCTGTTCTAAAACGTGAAGTGGCAGGGGTGGAGAGAAGAAGAGCGATCTTGGCCATTTGCTCTTTAATTTAAATAACCTGCATGGGCATCCAAAGGGGGTTGGAGGGCATGGGAATATTTCACAGCGTTACCAAACGACAGCCCTGCATGGAGCACCTTGGATTATATAAGGGAATTCAGCCCAGCAAGGCAGTTCTGCATCGATTGAAACCGGATCTGAAATGCACGTTCCATCAGGTATTAACTTATATATTCGGGAGGGGTTGTAACCCCTCAGGTAAACCATCATTCCGCTTCTGCAGCACCTTAAGTCTCATCATGGAGTGTGGACAAATTTGTAGTTGTTGGTAGACATGCCATTCAAGGTGTGTCGGATCAGAGTAAATGCAAAAGAAGGAGAGCATTTTATATTTCCCCAGGTTCAGAAAGAGTGGCGACATATTCTCTCTCTCTCTCTCTCTCTCTCTGATTTTCTGGCTTTTAATAGGTGTGGCACGTTGACTAATTTCCTGTATCTCTGTACACATGAGAGAGAGGGGGGGGGGGGGGGAGAGAGAGAGAGAGAGAGAGAGAGAGAGAGAGAGAGAGAGAGAGAGAGAGAAGACCCTTGATCGGATCCAACAGAGCTCTTGCAGTGCATACATTTGTAAAGGTTACGAAATCTCTAGCTTGCAGAGCAGGTTTGGGGAGGTGAGGCTAAGTCTGCTCTCCAGCCTCTTCATGCTTTTGTTTTCAAGTAAAATAGTTAGGTTTTATTTTGACAGATTACGGCTTTAAAAAAAAGTCCTGGCACTTGCTTTTTGGGTTTCGGTTTCCAAAGCTGCTCTTTGAAGGAAAGAGGACTTTGTGGTTCTCGCTTCAGTTCTGATTCCTGTGCCCCTTTTGTAACGCAGCGCAACTCCGTGCAGAGCGGCTGGCGAATCCCGTCCCCTTGCGGGGGGTCCTCGCAGGTGGGGTGGAGGGGCAAGGGCCCCGTAGAGCGGCTCGTCCCGGCCGCGGTGCAGCTGAGGATGCCAGGCCATGTAGCGATGGCCCTAAAAACGGAAAGGCATCACGGGAAAGAGGACAATTCCCATGAAACCTTCACGTAGGGATTGATCTGTGTCAGTGGCAAATATCGAAAGGGTTATCAAGCTTAAATAGAAACAGCGCGGCATCTTGGCCCAGCCGGGCGCTCGTGTGCTCGCGTTGGATCATGTCCTTTAGGGGTGCGTCTAATTCCCCCATCCCCTTTGCATCGCCGCTTCCATCTCACAGGCTCCTGGGTCTCCTAAGAGGGACCCTTAAACTGTCAGGCAGCTGGTTCATGCAACCCCCGTTCACACGTCATAACAGCCCACCGTGGCTTGATTTACCCGGGGGGTCTGTCTGGGATCAGCCGGGGGCACGTGGACACCCAGCCCTCCAAACCCATAAGCACAGCCGGTGATGCTTCTTTGTGTCTGCTTCTTTTCCAGGCCAAGCCTATTTATGGTGGGTGGCTTTTGCTGGCACCGGAAGGGACCGATTTCGACAACCCTGTGCATCGCTCTCGGGTAAGGCTCTTTCCCTTCGAGTCAAGGGCTGAAGGCTGTGCTGGCTGCCGGTGACGGTCGGTGACGAAGGCCAGCGAAAACCTGCGGCTCCCAAGAGCCATTCCGCCAGGCCCTTGCGCTCTCCGTACGAGCCCTCCAGGCCTGGGGCCCGGCTGCAGACCAAGCAGGAAAGGTCTGCTGTGTCCGACTCTCCCCGCAGTGCCCAGTTCCAGCACCTGGTTTGCTAAAAGGGAGCTGTGGGGCGAATGGGACGGGCTTAAAATCGAATGAACGAATAAATGGAATGAGATAAAATTACTGCTCGTCATTCCCGTCTTCCTGTTAATGCTGAAGCTTCGTGGTTCCTGAGACTGTGACCTTCCTCTAAAGTGGGCTGTTTGGATCTCTTGCAGCCCGGGGACCAACTAGAGTGGTGGAGATGCTCTCGGGGCCTGCGGTTGGGGGTGGGCTGGGGCCCACCTTCCCCAAACACCCCCATCGTTCAGCGGGAAGTTCTGGCTGCTCCAGTAATTGAGCCTCTCTGGGGACATTTCAGCCTTTCAGAACATGCAGCACAGCCTGGCAGTCCCCCAATGGGCCAGCAGTGGGGGGGGGGATCCCTGGGGGGGCTGATGTTGAAGAAGCAGAGCTGGAAGGGGACGTCTCGGGCAGAGGAGGGGCAGTGAAGGCAGGCTGGACTGAGAGTCCCTTCCGGCCCAGAGCTCTCTTCTCAACCCGCTTCTCTCTCGCCCCCAGAAATGGCAGCGCCGGTTCTTCATCCTGTACGAGCACGGCCTCCTTCGCTACGCCCTGGACGAGATGGTGAGCCACGCCGACGCCTCCGGGCACTGCGGTTTGTCCTTGGGGAAGGCGGGGGCTGTTTGTGGCAGACGCTGGGGGCCTGGGGGTGCGTGGGAGGGCCGCGTGGCCGGTGCCGGCTGCTCTGCGGCGGTTTGGGGACTGCAAGGACAGAGTGTGCGGTTGCTGCTCCAAAGAAGGCCAGGATCTGGACCCTGGCAGGAAGCAAAGAGGGCTTACTTGCCAGGCAGGGCTCTCTCGGTCAGCTCCAAAAACTTAGAATAAAATAAATAGATAAATGCATGACTTAAATGACTTATAAATATGCTCTTGCTCAGGGGCCCTCTTGGTTCTTCAGTAACTCTGCCGGGGAGGCGTCAGTTCTCTTTGCTTGCACCCCTGTGCTGCTGAGCGACTGGCAGGTTTCGGTTCTCCTTCTCCCCTTTCTTTCCTTGAGGTAGCTGGTGCCACAAAATCACGTGCTGTATTTTCCCTTCTGGGTTCATCCCTGTCGTCGCAGGAGGAGCGTCGGCTGGTGGGTGGCCGGGAGTGGGTTGAAATTATGTCACAACGTGGATAGAAAGCCTTGGGCTTCATTTAAGTTGTGGAGTCACACGGCCTTGCTAGCCCTCGGCCCCTGCTGGCCCAGGTGACTGTAGGTGTCTGAGGGTCGGTTGCCAGGTGCCTTCATGGCACCGACCCGTTGCGATGCCCAGTTGTCATAGCCCATTCCCCGCTCTCACCTGTGGCCCGGCCACACACCTGCCCTGAGAATAAAACCCTCCAGGCCTGCTAAAGCTCCTGTTCACACAGAGGCAAATGTTACGAGCTGCCAACCTGGAGTTTCTTCTGCAGGGGGGAGAATCCCTTCCCGTGTCCCCTCGCCTGCCATCTGAAGTGGTACAGTCCAGACACCAGTTCCTTAGGGTGGCAACTGTGTCTTAAGAGTCAAGGGAAGCTCCTTGTACCAGGCTCCTGAAGCGTTTTGGATTGCTCCTCACTGTGGACTAGCAACTTGAGGAGACTTTTGCAGTAATAAGGGGCAACCCTTTTGTCCGAGCTTGAACATGCTGCCAAATGTCTCTGGAAGGGCTTTTTTCCGAGGGGAGAAGCTGCTGCCCAGCCCCTGTACAGGGAGGAAGCGCTGCTCCAGGGTTCAGGGCAGACGTAAACCCTCTATCTGCAAGACAGCTGCGTCTCGTCACCGCTGGCACGTCACCCAAACCCTCGTCATCGGCCAGGCCAGAGGGCCGTAACGGCTCCCTTGCCCCGTCGCCAGGCAACCCGGCTGCTTCCCTGGGATAGCATTTCCCCAACTGACAATGGGATTGGGAAGCAGGGAAGCCTCCAAGACTGGGGGGGGGGGGGGGGGGGGGGGGTGGGGGGGGGGGGGCC